ACAAACCTAATTTTTAATATTTTATTATACAATTCGCGCTCTTTTACGATCTCAAATAACATATTTTTCACAAAACCATGTAATGAACAATCATGCGAAAGTTCATGTAAAAAAACATAAATTAATATCATTATTATATAAAAAAAAATTCACAGTTCGATTCGGGACACGGAGTAGTACAGACAGACGTGTTTGATAGCAGCATTATGATAAAAAATATTTCTGTTTTTTGGCTTCATTTGAGATCGAGTATGTGTGACACCTATTCTTCATCTTGCCCTTCGGAGGCCACGGGTTCCGAATGGGAGCAAGGAAAGCGGAAGCTTGGAAGACTAAAGAAAGAATCCTTAAAAACTACTATAAAAAAAACAAAGATGGCAGTTCCGAGGTCTTCAAAATGCCACAAACATCTGCTATATCAACTGATAAGTATTTTGCAAACAAAAAATCTTTGAACACTTTCAAGATAAACGAGATCGCAACTATCGAAATTGTGGTCGATGGGGGCCGGCAACAGGAAGGATGTTATTCTGGAAACGAAGACAGGCTTCATTTTGAAGTCAGACAACCCTAAGGTTGTGGTCGTTGCGTATCTGACCGATACGCGAGATCGTGGCCACATCTTGTCATTTCTGGAGAGCGTTCCTCCGAAGGAGCCAAAAAACACGGCCACAACGCGTCGGTGTCTTGTGTCCTCACAAAGACGGACCTGGTCATTACATAGACGCAAAAATCAGCGTCTGCGGTGGAACACAAGTTCAGCAAGAGGATCGTATCCAGGGCGACGGGACAACCAACCTAAAAGATGCGCATCATTACCGTGTGCGCGTCGTCTTTCCAGAGACTCCTACATGAGGGCTTGTTCTATATGAACAAGCACTTCCAAGCAGTAGAGAGCATTCCACCGCCTCCTATACCAGGGCCAATATCCGACAAACCGATGCACTTTGCCACTTCCCCCAAGTGTTTGTCTCGGAGGACCATGCTGCATGGTCTTCCAAATGTCGAAATGCAGAAAATCGCGCAGAGTTGCTGCAGCGCGATTTATTGACAACTTTAATGTTGAAACACACGTCTGCTTTTCGGGACATCATGTTTATATTCTAATGTTCGATGTGGATGACCGGGAGCGAGATTCTCCTACATATGTGAATCAGGTGACGGCCGGGTCTTTCATCATGAAGGATAGACCGTGTCCGGACGAATTTTATCATTCTTCAGCCAAATGATGCATCATAATATATAAATTGTTTCATTTCAAGAAGATTTACTTTTTATTTGATTTATTTATGATTTCATATTTTTTATATTTACTTATATATGTACGTTTCAGTAATAATGATTATTATTAGATCATAAAGGTTCTAAGAGATTTAATTATATCTTATATAACTTATCATTTTTTCTACTGATATTTGAAATTATATTTCTATAAAACAATAAATATTTTTAACATCCTTTCTTTATTAAACTTTCTTTAGCTATTAACTTTTAACAATCATAATATATAAGCATAGTAAATCAACATTTTTGACATTTTACAATATTTTTCTATAGATTTTTATATTTATAATGAATTATTTTGTAAATTGATTAGTTAATTACATATTTGAAAATATTTCTGTTTTTGTATATTAGTTTACTAATTTCAATCAATATGAGGCAATAAATCGCATTTTTTATTTACGTTTTATTTTTTTTGCTTGTTTATGTTGATCAATTAAAATAAAAATTATTTATAATAATTCAACTGTATCAATAATTAATATCCAATAAAATAAATGTTACTGTCCGTAATTTATAAAATAATAAAAATAGTTACAAGGAATTATTTTATATATGTGCTCTAGTTTTTGACGTTAATTGCATAATATTTTATAAATTTCGGTACATTTCAAAGAATTAGTTGTATAACTAATTATGTAATCTCTAAAATATTAAAATGGCTCTTTGAACTTCTTATAACAAAAATAATTTAATGTAAAAATAGGACAAAAAATCCTATGATCAATAACCCTTATTTTTAATTTGATTATGATTATATGTAAAAAATAATGTTAATATTTATCTTATACAAATAATACAAATCTTTTTTATAAACTTGAATCAACATCTCTGATTTGGTCGTGTCGTATTCGTAGTATGTTGATCAATTAAATTCCGATGTGGAATCTGCCTAGCAAATTACACCTTATACGGTATACAATAGCTTATTGGCAGTTAATTACCAAGTTATTTTTTTATCCTTGGATATATTGAAGGTCATGATACAATACTGGAAATAATTATATATTTTAGTATGGCTTACTGATTTTATCTTCATTAAAGTAGCCTCTTAAAGTCTTTATACCTCATGAAACTCCATGTTTGTAACAGTCAATAAACGAACAATTTTAATGAAACAACATACAGATTTTATTTTACATTGAATACAACTCTTAATTTATTATATATTTACGTAAAGGATTCACATTACGAAATACATAATAAATAGATATTATATAATAACACTGGATTTAGTTTTGAAATTAAACATATTATTTATACGTATAATCAATTTGCAAATAAATGTTTTTTCAATCAAAGAAAACAGCCGTTAGTTTACATAATAAATCAGACGATTTGCTGAAGTTCGCCTTTTTTATTTTGACGTACTAATTCAGATGTTGTCGTTGCTAAGACGTAACATTTCTGACGTGCAAAATATTTTTTTGTCTTGTAAAGTATGTCGCTAGTTTACTTTATTTTGTATTGACATAAATATTTCCCTATTATTTAATCAAAAAGTGATCATATTTTTAGTTTGTTGTAAAGTACAAATATTTCAATTATTTATAGACCAATAAACCGTTTAAGTCTAAGACGCTTCTTGAAACGTTTAATTCTTGATTTGAAGTGACTTAAGGTCTCGAATCGAACTACTTTCCTCATTTTATTTGTAGCTGGGCACTAATTTGAACCATTATTTCGACTAAATATCTACGAAGTTTACGATCTACAATATATTAACTATTTTAAAATTACTTTTAATAATAATAATAATAACACATTGTTAGTTAGTGCAGCATTTGCTTACTTAATAATCGCAAGATTAACAGATAACGCATAAGAAATTTGTAGACTTGTCATTATACAAAAAATAGCTCCAAATTTAAATCCAGTCATCTTATTGGAACATCTTATATAATAAGAATTAATATACGAAATAATACTTGAAAATAACAATTTAAAAAAAATATCAAAGATATAAATTGTAACACTAAACGGATACTCTTCACTTACGTAATTCATCTTTCTCCTTTTGCTTATTTGATTTGGTAACAATTAATTAACAATCGAACAATGTTAGTAATAAATCATAAAAATCAATTAGTTTAACAGCATCGCCTACACGATTTTCAATTATTTTGAACCCATCTATAATTCTCGAGAAGTCTATGATGTTTTGAAATAAAATCGTAACTATCCTTATTTGGATGTGTCTTACTTATGAATATCAATAATTAGATGAAAATCATAGTGTTTGTTACGGAAAATAAGTAGTTAGTTTAAATATTTATTAAAATTTAATTGATAATTACTTGATAAAACATATCGAATGATTCAAAATACCTAATAATAAGAAATAATTTTAATTACTACTGTAATTTTATACATACTAAAGTATACAGAAACTTAAAACTATACATTAAAATGATTAATAAAAAAATTAAACCAATAACAGTTTTAAAAATCATCTACTAATCAATTAATTTCTTTGATATAAAAAAAGTAAACTTCACACTGAAGTTACATGGGCTTTACTAATAAAGTTACTAAATATTTAAACTGCAAATAATCTACTTAACACTAATAATTAGATTATATGTATAACTGAAAATGGTTATGTAAATTATTATGTATAGATAAATTCTTAGTTAAATAATCTTAACATATCATTAAGATATCAAAATTTAATTTAAATAATAAAAAGATTAAGACATCTTAAATATCATTTTGTAATAAAAACGCTTTTGAAATTCAATAATAATTGGAGTGTTTATTAATTATTACTTAAGTGTCATTAGAACACAATAAACTAGAAACTCGTTACTTTATTTTTATTTTGAATTAGTTCTTAATCTTTAAGTACTCGCGACGAAATGTTACCAAATCTATATTTTCTTTCCCCCATCTATGACACTTAACGTAACCTATGCCCAAAGTGTGCAATATTGTGTTGACTGAGACACTAAGAAGTTGTTTTTGTGCATGTTCGTTATTGCTCTGTACTGGTGGTGTAATAGCAGACGATGCTAATATCTCACTCACGCTTATACAGAGGGCAATGATGACAATTCCGGTTCAGAAATTATTATATTATGCATTGCAAATAGTTATGAATCTAATAAAAAAAAAACCATTAGTTAACATGACAAAATATTTTCTTGTAGTAATACAATCAGGTAATACATGTGGTGTATAAAATACAAAATAGTAGTAGTAGTTCATAGAAATTTCAGTGCGCGAGTAGTTAAAGGTTAATGTCTAGCTTAGTCGAATATATTGCCATCAAGAATTTTGTAGTAAAATAATGATATTAAAGAAACAGAACAATTTATTTTAATTAAAAAAAAATAACAATGATTGCAAATCATTCATTTTAGTGAAAATTGTTTATGAATAAATGAAGCTATGAGTCACATACATGTATTTTTATCTAATAAACTAATTATTATCTTTTCTTTCCAACATTTTAAACATGATCTTAATTATTAACAGAAGTTCATTCCTTATAAGTTCACAAATATCTAAATATAATATTGTTATGTCAAATATTTAGTATAATTATTTTCATATGAAAACTCGTTCGTAAAAACAAATTTTTATTTTAATTTTTGAAAAGGTTGTTGAATCTAAGAAGGTTTTTAATAAAGTAAAGAACAGAAATTTAAATAAATATTATTTATTTAATAATTATTAATAATTATATAAAAAAAAACTTATTTGAAATTTGCGTATTAATGTATTCTTCTGGGATGCTGTCTCGGATTATTTAGAATGCATCAGTAATGTCCACCATGGATGTCGCCATAATAACCATCAAGATCGTATTCGTTGTAACCAGTGTGACCCAACAGCCCCGAGTCGTATGATCCATAATATCCTTGGTCTTCGTACACACCTGACAAAAAACAATAGAATCAGTAATTAATCTTATTCAAAATTATTTTAATGCATGTGCGATCAATCCGAAGAGCCTTTTCATTAGCGGCATATGCAAACATAAATATATGCACATAAACATGTACTCTGGCGAAATTTATGAATCGAAATTTTCCTTGTGGCATTTACATGCATGTATAATAATAATAATAATAATAATACGCAGTGCGTTCCACATCTCCAGTTTTCTCTATATGGCAAAGACTTGATTAAAGCATCGGGAGGCGAAATTCTCATCTCATTTGCATCTCGCACAGTGGTGGTGCGCGGTGTTTACAACACAGCTTCGGATTTGCATAATACCAACTGAGCAGAAAAAGAAAACGCGTCGTTGTTGGTTGGGTAATCCGAGGCGATTTCCGCGGATTATACAAAACAAAGAGGGAGAAAAAAATATATATGAGTATGCAATAAAAGTAAAATATGTATTTATTGGGTGATATGCATTTGCGGCGAGAGAGCAATTAATGTAATTGCGATATGTTGGGATCCGTTTGACAGGTAAATGTCAATACTAGGATACGAGGTTTCATAATCCGGTTGCTCCCTGGAATGATGACCATCATCATCGTGTTGTTGCTTTTGCACTTTTTCTTGGATGGAGAGGAAAAACTTTTTATTGCACACTTTTATTTATTTATTTGCATAATTTATATACAAACGCATATATTTTTATTCCATTCTGCTTTTATTATTTGGCGGATGTGGCGTTGGCTTTCATTTTTTTTTATAATATGTATACCGTTACTGGATCACTCCGATTCAATCGGCTAATTGAAATTCCTAACTTTTTAATTACCCAACAATTAGTATTGTGATTACTGGTTAATCGTATTAACTACGTTACATGTGCATACAATCATAATGATTACGCAAAAAAATATGTAACTTAACGAGATAAAAAAATATATTAATTTATATAATCATGACTTTCAAGTCCATTATGTCCAGATCAAACATTTTTTGTATTTTTATTAAAATAATGTTTTGTAAACAATTCGATTAACACAAAAGATTAACACAGTTTTTCTATATTCAGTACAAAATTTGTAAAAAGTTTGTGCTTTTATTATCTATTTTGTGTTTTTTTTTAGCAAATCTAAAGACTATAGACCACATTTTCATTCATAATATCTACAGAAAATTGTAAATAATTTGTACTTCAGTAAAAAAATATATATATATCTAACGTAGAAGATACATAATTATATAAATACGTGTTTTATGAATTTAAGAAATGTTTATACTTGAATAGAAATTGTACTAATAAAAAGATACGTTTATTCAATTTACAATGTTATCAAATATACAACCATACAATATTCAAAAAATAATAAAAATATATAGTTTAAAATTATTTAATAATAATTTGTTTTATTAATATTTTTATATTTATGCTAAAAATTTTTAAAGCTACTGTTTGGAGAATAAATTATAACAAAAAAATAATAGTATTTTCTGCATAATAGTCAATATCTACTTTCGAATATTCACTTGTTTTAATGTGCATGCGTCAATCTCTTATCTTTTGTAATCACTGTGATCGAACAAAACACATTCCTGACATGTTAATGAGTGCCATTGTTTCAATATCTATTAATTATATACTATGTTAGCAAGCTGTACATTTACATTACACTACATATTACCTCTATTATTTAGTTCCATTGAAGGATCGAGAAATTTTCCAGCAAGAAAAGTAACTCTTGTTTAAATATAACTTTTCTTTTAAAATTTAGTTTTTCTTTCATATCTAGTTTTTCTTTATCATAATACAATATTAAAATAAGTTCATATTTCTTTAATAATATTTATTGTACCTTACTTTCTATATTACTTTTTTTTTTTATTAATAAGTGTTTTTAAATTCTATTGCTAGGTATTAGCAAATTATATATTTCATAACGCAAGATGTGATAAATTAGAAGTATATATCTAAATGATATTCTCGAAGTATAAGTATATGAAATCACTCTTCAGGAGGTAGCAAGAGAAAGGTGAATTGGAAGAAGATATTACAACTGAAACTACTCTTGTTATTTCACTATTAAAGACCTTGACAAAACATTTCAACATATCGAAAATCCACATGATATTTTCTATAATATTTTTGAAAGAACCCATTTATGTATTAAGAATTTTATTTATTTATGCTAAAGTTGATAGTACATTGACCTGGTGTATCTCTCTTTTTTCTATTTCTTCAAAAATTGATATGTTATATATACAATATTTTTGAATTAATAATATTTTTTAGAAAAGAAAGACATCTGCAGCAGATCAATTTATTTTTATTTTCTTATTCTCTTATTCTGTTGTGTTTGTAGTATAGTGTATAATATATTTCTTTATATATTTTAGCCATTAAATTATACTTAAAGACTATTACAAAAACTTCTTATTTATCTAGAGATACTACTCATACGTTTAAACATCTACAACAGGTTGTAGATATTTTTGTAGATTTTAAGAATAGGGGCAGAAAAACGAAGTTGTTTGGTTGCATGAATTTGATTATTTCTGAAGAATTCCTATTATTTTGTTTAATTTGTGTTTCAATAAAATTATTGTTATTTATTTATTTTCTGTTAACATTTGAAAGAGCAAAATTCTGTGAAATATTTCGAGATTGCTTCAAAAGAAAGTTATGTCACAATATGTTACATTTCTTGCTCTAATTCACATGTGTTAATATTTTAAGAAACATGAAAGGGCATCACAAAACTTGATCGGAATAAATATATTTCTATTTTGTGCTTTTCCAATTACTTGTAAATTATTAATAACAAGAATGAGCGAATGCGATAAAGTGTTATTTTAATTCATAATTCAGTAATAAAATTTTAATAAAATTATTTACACTTAAAAATTTAAGACAAAAGACGTAGTGTCCATTGTAGTAATTTAGTTATATTTATTACTCAGTTTGAAATCAAATAGAACAAATTAAAAATAAATTGTAAAAAATTACCGGTTTGTTTCGTTTTATACAGTCTATATTTGTAAGGTTTAATTCCTCAATTTTTCCAGTTTAAAATTTTGGATTCGCCGATGATCCAAGTCCAAGATATTTCTATATAATTATTAAAAAGATATGAATAACTTCCGTCAAGATTTATCCATAGTTGTCTGTTAAGCTACAACCTTCTGGATTCAAGTTTTGTGTGTCTTAATTTATTTGTTTATTACTATTGTTTAGAAAGTTAGATGACTTTTTCTTGAAAGATATTTCATTGCTAGCAATATATTACTTTCATTGCTTTGACCGGTTAGCCCAAAAAGGTTATGAAAATCTGAACTGTATTTCGTAATGCGATTAATCTGCTGCAACGCAATACACCTTGTTTTTCGGGAGCGATCTCATTTGCATTTGCAAATTTACAAGTTTTTAAGGCGGAAACCAATTCGAGAGAAACAATTTAATTTGTAAAATATGTACTGCACATATTTGCATACAATATAATAAATCCGATACAAAGAAACTATGCATGAATAATCCGCGCTCATTCTTCTCATTTATTTATTTTTTATATATGCTGGTAGCATGTTTCGAATTGATTTATTCGATTTTCTTACCAACGACGAGATTACCTCTCATTATTTGGTTAAGAGGAAGCTGTACTCTCGGCAATCGTGACCGATCGGTAGAATGTATAAGAAGTATAAAAAAAAGGATTTCATGTTCAGTTTCATCATTGCTCGTGAATATCGATCGAAACAAAAAAAAATAATATGAAAAGGTATGAGCATAATAAGACTCAAGTGTTCAGCATAGAAAGCTGATTTAATTCCTGGTTTTGGCCGAGCTACTATTAACCTATTGGGCCCCCATTTGCAATAATCGACATTCGACTTTGATTTTGCATTATTATTATGTTCTTTTTTTCGTACTGGTTTCCTCGAAACTTATATAAGATGCTTTTTTAAATGGCAACCTCAAACCGTTGCACTAATTAGTGTAACCGAATTAAAGGAATATAATTAATGCCAAGGATATAAAAATGTGTTTTTGTGCAAATTTGTTTACCTTTAATGTCAAATTAGAAAACAAAATAAAACAGAGCAGAATAAAAATGCAATAAACCATAATGGTTAGGATTATGACATGATCGTAGGAGTTTATATATACATTATTTTTATTCGCCTTTTCTTTTGCATATCGGAAATAACCGATGTTTTTAATATGAAGTTAATACTGTATTGTGAAACGCGCGTTCCGATCATGCCGATCGTGACTGGAATCATCCTCCCAGCAATTCCATGTAATTATTTAATTTAAATCCTCTGATAGGGAAGGAAACTCGACCTGCAAAGCTGTATTTGGTCAAATTGAAACGGTTATTGATAGAGGAAACCACGAACGAGAAGCTGCGAGAAAGTTGAGATACAAATGCATACGCAAAGTCCCATATAAGTGATGGCCTTTTCATTGCTCCGCTTTGTCTTCTGGCCTAACTATCCCAAGTATCTTCCTTAACGTAACGCGAATTTCAAAATTATGAAATCCGTGCACGTCCTGCGTTGAAAGTTCCATTATATAAATTTGATCATAATGAAACACATTAGGTACGCGTTTCGACTCCCCTCTAAATAACTATCTAACTATTCATTTGTAAATATATATATATATATCAATAATCTTTTTTTAGGTCCGATTCTCTATTGGAAAGAAGACTTTCTAAATAATTTCACGTCCATTTCCTTCTATATACTTATTACTTTTATGAATAATTGAACATTCGCAACGAATTGTAGGGTATATTACTAGGCAATAACCTTTTATGTTCGGTATAAAATTTGTTAACGAAGAATAATGTGAATTCCTTAATAATAATAAAGAAAATTGTAATAATATGACAAGTTCATAAACTTGTATTTTCTCACTTACTTTTACTTTCTCGGAAGTACTATTCACATTTAATTACGCCACTTTTGAAATGCATTCTTCATGTACGATCGCATGCATGATATAGAACTGCTTAATTCTTCTAATATAAATAATTTAATATCAGCTGCATTTTAAAAATATTAAAACAATAATTATATTTTCAGTTATGTTAGTAATATGCGATGTACATAGTGCGGTTTCTATTAGTACGGTTTGAAAATTTTCAAATAAACTCAATTAATTCAGCAAAACAAAAATATTGTGTATAAATAAATATTCTTTTTTTCTGTCTACAATCTTTCTTTTTATGCGGTTTTCAAGTCCTCGATTAGTATAGTTTCAAATACTGACGGAACCGATTTTCCGCACTATGTGAGGTTTTTTATATTGTTTAAGAAATTCAATTTCAGGAAATTTGTTAAAAGCGACCGAATAGTGTCTTATAAAAATTTAATAACTACATTGGACTCTCAAACTTCGGACTGTTTGAATTACAACTCGAATTAAAAAATGTGGAAAATCCGGTTTTTACAATCGAACAAAACTTGAAAGTGAATTTATATTTATATAAATACGTTGTAACCTTCTACTATTCTTATCCATTGATAAAATATTTGAAAATATTTACATAAATATATTTATTAGTCCAAAAGGACCAAAAAGCTTTAGCTATAGAAAATCTATAATATGTGTTTTCTTATTATTGAATGTTTAGAATGTTTAATGATACGATTATTTTAATAGAAACAATACAATATATAAACTACATAATTATTATGTAGTTTATATGTAATCAATCAACATTTTTATAAAAAAAAAAGTATATATATATATATTAAGTATACTCAAGAAGTGCTAGAAAAAGCTAATTATAATATAACCTTAATCATACGATTACATTGAATGGAGTTATAAAAAAACTGATTTCAAATATAAGTCATGTAATAGTCTATAAAAAAAAGATAATATTCGTGAGAAAAATTTCTCATGTCTAGACTCGAACTTTTCCGTCGAAATCGTAGAGCTTGAGTATCGTATTTCGAAATCACTATAACTTTAATTAAGTATCATCGCTTTCATCCGTTTGTGGTGATTACGCCATTTAATATTAATTACTTATTAACATTATTAATAGTTATGTTATTCATCGCCTTATGTTGCTAGTATGTTAATATTGAAACTGAAAGTTAATATATAAATATGCTGATTTGATGAATCTGAAAAACTAATGTTGACTACTAATTTGGATGGTATAGGTTTTATGGTATTTGTAACAAGTGTTTTATTTTCTATAAAATAATTCACTTTCTAACTGAACACATAATTAAATAAAGTTTTGTTTTTATTTCAGTGTTTTATAATTTCTTCCAGATTTTCTCTTTTTTATTTTTGTTAATTTTTATGTATTTACGAAATTACTATATTTTTCGCAGGAGGAAAACGTGAATATCGCTTGTAAAAGTTTTTTTATTTTCTATTAATTATATAAATACGTTTTAATTTATTATTTATTTATGTATGAATTTTTCAATAAATATCTTTTTCATATATTTTTAATTATACTCTTTACAAACATTTTCTATTCCATATAAATTCACATTGATTTTTATCCATATTTTCATAATATATTTATATTCTTTTGGATAATTTTTAAAATCCTTGTTATTGAATAAAAATCATAACAATAAATTGTTGTTACATTTTTGTTTTAAACTAAAATTAATGTGAAAATATTCTTAATATGAGAGCTATTTTTCTTTAAGCCGAGCAACATAATTAATATTTAAATTTAGTATTCTTTGTGATATTTGTGTAATTCATTACTTACTGGGGTAAACTTGTTGTACTGTTTTGTGGTAAATCGGAGCTGCTGGTATAATTGGTGTCTTTAAAACAGGCGCCACCGGTTGGACAATACCTGGTACCACCTGCTTGATGATTGGCTGGGCATGCACAGATGGCGCACTCTTCGACACCACAGCATTGAAACCATTGACTGGATCTGCAGTGTAATCCACTGTACGAACAGAACCATCTGGTTCCACCAAAGAGTACTGTCCTTTCACCACATCTCCGTCACGGCTCTCGTGCTGGCTTTTATGGTCACCAGTGTGCGGATCAGAAACGCCGTATTTAAAAGCATATTTAGGATGGGCCTAGAATTAAACAATTAATAAAATTAAATATTATAGAATCCTTTAAAATTATTTCTTGGTTATAAATCCTGATGACAAAATGAGTTATTATTATTATTTTGACGTATATTTTCTCAAGTTATTTTTTAGAGGTCACAAAATGACAGCTGCCACCTTCCGTCAAAAGTTGTATGTTATAAACAAGTATGTCAAGAAAGTTGAGATACGTTGTGTTATCATTTAGCTCTATTATGTAATTAGGTTATATTTCGTTTCCTATTCATAATTAGTTTTTTTTTAATTGTTGACATTTTATGTTCTTTATTTATACGTTGTTGCATATTATTATTGCAAAGCTTCAATTAGTAAGTCAATTTATAGTAAATTCAGTAAATAATCATCAATTAAAACGAATATTAATTAGCAGTACGCATCTATTACATGATTTTAATTATACATATAACAGTTACATGCCAAATCTTGTGTTACTTAGAATAATGAATAATCCTTTTAATATATTACATTTAATACATTTTAATTATTTTGCATTTTTAAATAAATGTTATTGTATATAAAAAAAATGGGTATAATAAACGCTATAGTAGAGTCGTAAATACAGAAATACCTCTCATAGTGCGGTTAATCGGAGCTGTCAATATACCGAACTAATCAAGCACTTTAAAATTGTATAAAATCAGAACAATAAAAAGTCTAGGCCACATAGAGGGGAAAAAATAATTTGATGTACTATTTTTATTATAATTTATTTTGTTTGAAATCATATAATGTGAGTTATTGCTGTATTTCATTTAGAAAAAGTGAATTGATTATTTATGGATTTAGATCCATCATAAACTATTCGATTGTTTTTATATACATTATTTGAGATTAAAGTTAATTTTCTGTTATAACATTATTTTAATTAATGAATATTTTGTCTTTTTTTTTACCTTAATAATTAATGAATATTTTTATGAATTTGAAAATGTTCCCTAAAAATTTATTTAGAAATTAATAATTAATTTGTAGTTGTTTTATAAATTGAACTAAAACCGTGCTTTACTAATGTATATGTATATACACAGACTCAAATAAATCGTTTATTTTTATCTTGATTAATGTTACATTTTATTCGTTACGAGAAACATAAATACAATACAATCTGATTATGAATTGTGGATGCGCCTGGTTATACAAATATTTTTTATAGCTCTTTTGAATTATAGAACGCTTACATCGATGAACTTGAATTATTATATGCGATTATTTGTTTAAGCCTCATGGGTATTGTGTCAGCTTGTCAAATGTATGCAACATGGACTGTGAATGGTTTGGAAGGGTGATTATTAAATGGACGCTCGTCGGACCGCATAATCAAGTGTTGTTGCGTATTCAACCAACGTATTTCAGAGGACAATACAAAATTTTATAATTAAAAACGAGAAACATACGTGCAATTAAAAATTCATTTATAATTTAAATTTACTTATTTCTATAATTAAATGCTTTTGAATACAGAAAAGTTTTTGTACTTTAAACAAAAGTAAAAAGTTCTATTTCTTTTGCAAAATATTGCTCATTTATAACTTTATTGTATGAAAACATTTAGGCCGAAATCCTTTTGTTCATATTTTGAAGACTTATTTCTAAATATTCATATCTTTAAATTTGACGAAAATAATCAATTCTTACAAAAAAATTAACTTTTTTTGAAAAAGTAATACAAACAAATAAAAACTAAAAATTTCTAAAAGATTTTTTTTAAAAGGCCTATGTTCGCTAGCACTTTGTAACAATTAATAATTTCCACAAACATGCGAATGTAACTGTTATAATTTTGTTAAATTATTAAATCAAAATGATATTTATTTATTCTGTATTTCTTTAGCTTATTTGTTTTATTTGAAGTTTATATTTCTTATTATGCACATGTTCTCATTTATTTAAAAAAAATATTTATCAAAATTGTACAAATAAATATTCTTTTAATTAGTTCAAAATGATGCCAAAATAATATTATATTTAATTTCACTCAAACTTATAATACAATATTAAAATTGTTGGAAAGAAATTCAATTACAACTACGCTATAAATTTCTTTTAATTAATATTTTTTAATGAAAAACTTTGATATAAGAAATTTAATTTAAGTTTCAAAAGCACTGAATTAAAACAAATGACAATTTTTATATTTCATTATAACATATAATATGGACGAATAATCAGTTCAGTAATTATACTTACGTAATAATCGACTGCGTGCGGTGCGTAGATAGCGGGTTGAGCGTAACCAGGCTTTCCCAGAGCGCATGGAACCAAGGCGACGAGTAGCGAGAAGATGGCCTGAAAAGAAGAAGTAATAAAAAGAGATTACCATGCGACCGGGAAAATTATTGCATCCTTGAGATGCCGCAGATGTTACTTAATAATTAATATGAAAATTATGAATGTTCATTGTTTTTTCTTCGCTGCTGTTCATTCTCTCCGTTTTCATCCGTCACAATTACGCAACATTTTAGTTTTTCTCGTATTATTACGATTGCCACAGTGCATATGGGAAACGAATTATGTTTGTGAGAGGCAGAACGTGGAGTACGGAAGGAAAGACGAAAATGAACGATAAAGAAAAAAATAAACACAAAGAAAACAAATAGTGGAAACGTCGAGTTTAAGTTAATTAGATTTTAATACCCGGTGCGTTTAACTCCGCTTGCATATTTACACAATAAGTATTGTGTGAGTGGGCTAATTATACACCTGAACGCGTAGCAAATGACTTTAATTGGTTTACAACCTGCTATATTTACATAGCCAAAAGTGTTTTATTTAATACCTTGATACACTAATCAACCTAGATATATTTATATTTTTTCTCAGTTCTAATTAAATATATACCTGTACATGAAAAGTAACTTATATAATTAAAAGTAATGCGTATTAATTGTAAAACTTCATATTCTCACCAAAATACGACAACCTAATAATCCACTACACAATCCTCCTAATGATCTCCTTTACTCCAAAACCAAAATAGTCCCTCTCCTTGAAAATTAAATCGAAACAGTCCAGAAATCCAAATATCCTTTCCAAATTGAAATATCCCATATTATCCCTATTCCAATACCTAATGTCCCTAGATTGATACACACTTGTTCCTACTCCTCTGCTTTTTTCCTCATTCTTCTGTTGTTCATTGTATATTATTATTATTACAATATAGTATTATTCCATAATTAAATTTATGTTCCCGGGCGGAAAGACCTCGGTCGTTAGCCCTTTGGCCAGCCTATTAATATATGTTTTTATTTTATGTTAGAATTTATTTATTTATGTATATAATGTACTTTCTTTCTTTTTATGTATTGATGTTTGGTCAATAAATTATTATTATTATTGGAAAACTAATATCAGTGTTGGTAAAGAATTATATTTTTTATAGTAATCCCTATGAATTTATAATCAATATATGCAAACAAATGTTTTCCATTTCGATTTTTATTCAAACTGCGACAAACAACAAACTATCCTCTGTTTAGATAACATAGCGAGTAGGTAGTATGTCATACCTGGAGTAATTTAGTAGTATTAAATCGATAAAAAAAAAGTTATATATTTATTACAACAGTAGAAATATAATATAATAATACAAATTAAAATCAATTGCTGCAAAGGTTTATTGGTCATAAGTCTTTCTGTCCGGAACAAACCTTGACATATTTACAAAAAAAGCCTAGTCTCTCCTGTTTCTATTGTCACCAGGTGCCATTGTTTGTATTAATTTCCAATTTGTAAGGAAAACTTAAAGTTATTCTTATAAATTATTGTATTATATGAATATGATAATCTTAATATGTGCTATTTTCGAAAGTGTCTATTGGGTTTGCGATTGAATTCTAATAATAGACATCATACAGTCTTTTTACACTAAAAAACTGTTAAATTTTATTATGCCATAATAATTATTAAAATTTTTAAAGAAAATAAACGTTTTTTTAGCTACTAGTGGACTTATACCACTTTCAATATTAACGTATTTTAAAAATAAAAACTAGAGGAAATTCATTGGAAGTCCATCTTTTTATAGACATTTTTAATGTATAAAATATTAATTAAAATGAAGAAATGTAGATACACGAATAATCAATTTTATTGAGAATTAATTTCAATTGTATTAAAAATGAAGATATAAATAAACAAGTGTAAATTTTAATTGTTTATTTAAGATTTAAGATAAAAATAAAAAAATATTTTAAACTTATTTCTCCTTTACAGTTTACATAGTGAAGTAGTCATGGTAAATAGTTGGTATGTAACTTACTGGCACTAAACTCATCATATCGCTGTATTTCTCTCTTGTTATTGTTCTTGACGTTTTATACATTGACAACATAGTCATTTTGCTGAGATGTTTGGATCTTCTTTGTTTTTCAAATAAAAAATTACTTTAAATGAAGCATTTCCTTTCATACTAGTTTTGTAACAAAAAAAATGTGCGGTTCGTCCCATTTAAACCTCATTCAGCACATTTTCAGCCATTTTATAATTTCTTAACAATAATATTTTTTGATTACATAATAATATTTTTATAATAACATTATATAGTAAAATTGATAATAAATATAATAATTGATTATAAATATAAAAAGAGGATATATATCTTATTAAAATTACGATTAATTATTTTTTTTCCAAAAGTGAACTTATACCACTTTCAAAAATAACGGCTTATATATTTATATATATTTAGTAGTACGTTTTTTACTAATACAACAATAATATTACATTTATCATTAAAAAAATATATCTATCAAAGAGTACTAATTATTACATATTTTAGAATCTAATGATTCAATGAGGCAAATAAGCACCGAAAACATAAATTTATAATTAGTTGTAATTAATTGTCATTGACAGTGAAACTATATTATGAGCTACAATAACTTAAAAATCAATGTTCAAAGAAACCGAATAATTATTATAATCCAACATATTTTATACTTTTTCTATTGAATTATTTTTTCACCAGTTTTTATTTTTGATGTTTACACTATTATAAATAAATAGAAAATAATTTTCTAAGTTATAATACGCTTCAGATAATTACTTCTATTGTTAAGATTAAAATGGACAACATTCTAGGTAATGATGTTTGTTCACAAATTTATATCTGTAAATATTATATGTGCTAAAGCAGTGATTCTCAAAGTGTGGGCCCCAAGGGGCTCGCGATTAATATTTGGGGTGTCGCAGAAAAATTGATGACAGACGGTATTTTTTTTTCTACGTTTTTCTACTTCTACCCTTCTTTTTCTACCCAATCTTCGGGAGTCCTTTAAATTTTGTAAGTACAAAAGTATTAGATATATGTATATAAAAAAAATCGTTAGTACCATGTAAAATATTGTTTACTGTAAATATACTTAACCGTTATGTTATAAAGATTATTTACATTAGAATTTGAATGTGTACAGTCTTTACTTGAGGATCTGTACTAACTACAATAAGGGGAATGGAGAGATATTTCAATTACATTGTGAAATATACAATATATATAAATTTGATATAATATGCCTGTTAAATTAGATAATAGACAATATTTGCTAAAGTAACAAGTTCTAAAATCAGAATAAATTAAAATTCGTTACAGATGTTGTTAATTAATATTGTTTTTAAATATATGCTCGTTAGTTAAATTTCTTCTAAATAGTAATAATAAATAGTAACAATCACATACTGCTTCTTACTTATCAAATAATGATTAGTAAATTTTAAGCGGAAGCAATGTCAAGAGATCTTTGCAATTTTCGTACGGTTTATTATACAAAAAAACAAAGACAATGTTCGTTTGTCGGTGAAGCAGAAGAAGGCCATATGCATTCTTTTGCCGGTTCATAGCGTATGAGTATATATTGAAAAGCACGTTTCTAATAAAATTATACAATATAATGTATGTGCTCGCAGCCTCCTCTTTCATATAGGTCAAGCAATATTGGAAGGAAGCTCCACGTCTTCGGGGATTTATTTATTTTTACAGAAGATGAGAAAAATACTGATGAAGTGAGAGGCAGCCTCCGATCGATAGCCTATTGGATGAGGAGATATATTAAGTTTGCCTCTAATCTTCCTTTTATCGCAGTTTCATCAGTGCAATAGAAAATAAGAAAATATTCTTTATAGAAGTCCTCTAATGTAATCGCATTACTAATAATAACTATTTGAAGTATACAATAAGAAATGAATGACAGTATTAGATTAAAAAATATTATTTGTTCTTTTCAATTTTAAAGGCTATTAAACAAAGATTTCCATACTTAAAAATCCAATGCATGACTATAACTAAAGTAATTAATTAAATATATTTTCGAAACAAGAAAATATTACTTATTTTGTGTAATTATGACTGAAACATTAATTCCAACATATTATATAGATTAAGGATGTTTTTTTTATCTTTTATACAATTTCATATATTATTTAAATAAATCATTCATCTAATTTTTAAATTAATGGTATGTATATGCCATAGGAAAGCAAAGAAACTAAAAATAAATACATTCAAATGCGTACAAATTATATTTTACTAAGGTTAATTACTAATTATAACACATCATAATTATTTTGTTAAAGTAGACTCGTTATTTCGTGATTAGAGAAATTCAAATGAACACCCATCTAAGAATATCTAATTACACATTAGTAGAAGTGATCAATTCAAATAGTCAATTAAAATAGAAAGAAATTATACCGCTTTTACTTCTCACTGATTGATTGTATAGAAATTTTGTCCTTATTTGATCTTTCGCCATTTTATTGTCAAATAAACGACTGCTATTTCAACAATGATTCGAAATTGTTTGACTGTAATAAAAAAAAACTATTCGGATAATCACTGTCTACGGATAATTGACGCCAATAATTTCGCCTTTAGAAAATAAAAATGGGAAACTTCTTTTTTTACGAACGTGCCATCTGCTGTTTGCTTTGTATTACATTTTTCACACCGAAACTGAAATTTAACGCATTGTTTCATAACCGATTGCGGGGAAAGTCTTGTTTCTGGTGAAACTTACAAAAAGGAAATTACTATTCACATACATATTATTTTTAACAGATAATATTTCACAAAATGGTTTGTGTTTTATCCGACTTATTTTCAATATTTCATTAATTAAAGTTTTCAATGCAGAATATTAATAAGATTAATAAATCTTATTAATTATGAATTGTATTATTCTAATACACCTTTTTATTTTATGTTTTAATAATTAAATGGTCAATATAAAATATAGGAAAAAAATATTGATTTTAGATATGTAAAAATTCTTTTAACATCTTACAACAATCGTTTTTACTTGATATCTTTGAAATCTAAAATATGTAAACTTGAAAATGAACAAATACAAATATCAGATTCAGTATAAAATTAAGTAAAAGTGATGATATTTTATAAGACAAATCATCATAATGGTAACTATCCACCGGGAAAGATTATTTACTCAATGTTCACATCAAAACAGAATGTGAATAAAATTATACGACATAAAAAAAATTATAAGACAGAGCAAAGGACTTATACAGTTTTCCTATTTTTTTTTAATATTTGGATATATCAATATAAAATAATGAAAAAAAAGATATTTCCTTTATATTTGGGATAAACATTATTTATTTAATTGTTTTTTTTGTTTTATTACATAAAATCAATCATTATTTTTTAATAAATAAATTAATTAATATATATGAAATTATAAATAATTATGAACATAAATGATAACAACAGATGAATTAAGAAATCAGTACTAATTAAATATAGATTAGTAATTATTAACGAGACAGACATTTATAATCACTTCACATAATTAATTAATGATATAATAATAACATTATAATTACAGTATTCTTACCTTCATTTTTAATCAGCGATTAAATTAACTAAATACAATAATCCTGAATCCTGATATTTGTTTTTTTTTATATCGTTTGCATTGGGATTAGAGTAAAATCAAAGCACACACTAACGAATTTCTTCGGTAACATTGCTTTTTATATAATCCACTTCCCAGTAGTCCGTACGTTACCCATTATTCTACGCAAGTTTCGCCCCCACCAGAAAAACAAAAAGTTTACACACAAAAAAACTTTCTTGTTGCAAAACGCGTCTGCTGTTGTTATTAATTTACTGCAAGGACACTTTTAATTAAAGCTTTTAAATGTTAGAACATTCGGATGTTTTAAATGAAAACTGTTTAAAATTTGCTGTATTTTTTTGTAAGTTTAGTAGATTTGTATAAATGAATTATGTAAAAAACTATTTAATGTTCGAGTAATAATAGTTTAATTATTATAATGTTTTTTTTTTACTAATATAATAATATTTCTTACTAAAACAAACAATAATATACATTAAAATTGTAACAATAAAATCTAATTTATAATTAAAAACCTTCTTTTTAATCGAATAATAAACATATTTATTGCATATATGCTTTTTCATGCTTAGAAATGGCTATTAACCGCTCTATCTTATGTATTTTTCATTATTAGTAAATATTTCTGTGATTAATTTCATTTGTATAATCAAGACATTAATTATTGGATATTTAAAATAACATAATGATTGATCTTATTGTGAAACAAATGTATTTGCTAATCATAATTGACACTGTAACATAGTTAGTTCTTGTATTTAGCATGTGTTTGCTTCAATTATATTGAATAATATGTTGACTCTAAGAAATATAATAGCACTACTTCCTTACGTTTGCGTATGTAATATATGAAAAATATAAGACTAATACTAAAACTTTTAATAAAAGTCTAAAAGAGCATTTTATTTTGTACTATGAAATAAACAAATATTTAAAATATGTTGGTTTTTATATATAAATTACTATAAAGTAAAGAACAAAAAAAATTGACTTATAAAGACTTGAGTCTTAGGACAACTACAAACAAATACGTATAGTCGTACAACAAAAGAGTTAAGATGGGGGCCGCCAAGAGTTTTTAGGGGTGAAAATATAAGATTTTTTATGTTTTGATATCTTTACAAACCGAAATAGTTTATATAAGTCTAGGATTACAATATCTATACTGTTTAAAATATACATTCATTGAAATATTTCTAAAAAAAAAAAAATTGGACCTTAATTTTGACAACAAAAAAGTGGATTGCAAAACTTCCTTACTTCTCCATTCTAAACCAACTAAATTTATCTATGCAAAGAAATCAAACTTCGTAAACGGTGTTGAAGAATAGAATTTAATGTTTTCTAAATGTTATTTTCAAATGATTGCATATAATTGTGAATTTGAAAAATAACATTATGAATATTTCATCTCCAAAAATGAATTGAAATATTTGACGGTGGTCATCATCATCATTTATTTATAAAATTTAAATAATACATAATATAGGGTGTGATACAAAAAAAAAATGCAGACTGTTATGGGCTTTAGCCTCTTTCAGCCTCTTAATTACAGAAAGTTTTACAAAACAAAAAAAAAACATCAACAATAATAATAGAAAACAAACAGAGATAGAACACACATAATTAGTAATAATCACTTCACTGCACGAAAAACGAATGATTTACATCACTGAGGGGGAGTGCTTTTTAAAGTCTTGGAGGAGTTGCATTAATGTGGGGTCGTTGGAGTTAGCGTAGGACGCCAGCACGGCAGGGGGGTGAGGGAAATATTTGACAAATATATTCCAAATAATGAATTTTATTGCAGTAAATTACAAACTTACGAACTAGTTCCGTTCCAAACTGTTGTTCGTATGTAAAATTTATTCGTAAGTCGATGGAATTTTAAAAATTTCAAAATATACTATTTTTAGCACACTTTATCATAGTTTTTACTTTTATATATGTTAAATTCCGTATTACTGACTGTATAAATTTGAAAAAAAAATTAAAATGAACAAAATACTTACAAATACTTTTCAATCTAGACATCACAATTATTTAATAAAAAATGACAAAAGAAACAAATTCAGCAAAACAGATAGTACATATTCCAAAAATATTATGTTTTATTAAAGAAATTATTAATTGTTGTTTGGACAGTTAATTTTTTATCACTATATATCTCCTTATAACAAGTTAGAGCTTTTAGAATTTTGTTCGTATGTCGGGATTTTGTAAGTCGGGGGATACCTGTATAAATTTATCACCAACCCACGATAAAAACTTTAAATAACATTTTTTGAATGTATAAAATGATTTGTGAATTGTATAGACATTTTGGGCATAATCATATATCAGCTGTGGTGTCCGAGTGGTTAAGGAGTTTGACTCGAAATCAAATGGGCTATGCCCGCACAGGTTCGAATCCTGTCCGCAGCGATTCTTTTTATATAAAGTTTACATAAAATGTATGTTAATTTAACAGTTTAAAACCTATTGATAACTTAATTTAAGTTTCAATATGTTTTTTAAAGTTAAATTTATTTGTAAAACGTTTCATAATATACAAACTATGAACATTAATTGATTTTATTCAATTTATATTTTGAACAATTTCGACATTACAGTGGAATCTGAAATTGTCCACAAAGAAAAAGTTGTAAGTGGGAAAAAATGTTTTGAGTAACGAGTATTTCTGAAACAAATTATGTTTTTTATGCGAGGTTTAACTGCACTTTATAAATATATATACATTACCTGAATATATTTGTTTTGTATATTACGGTTCTCATTCTATATTACATACTGATTTACAAATAAATTAGTTAACAGATGACATTCACGAGTAATTTAACTCGTGTGTAGTAATGAGAGAAAATTGCTTAAGTTTGCAGATTTAAATGTAAATGCTGACACATGATGCAGCACTAAAGACATCTTAAAATAATCCAAACGTAACACAGAAAATATAAATGGGAACAGTTAGGATTTATAAGACTATATTGGTATTCATAAAAGTATAAAAATCTATCATTTGATAAGAATTTTGTGCTAATTTAAAATTATCTAATTAGAAACGTTATAAATAATATTTGATACTTCAGTTTTAATTACAACAATCAATAAATATAGAAAATCAAAAGTTATATTTTAATAAAGATAAATTTATAGAAAGTACAAATGCAATCTATTTTGTCCAACATATTTTGTTGTTCGAAAACCGAAACTATTTTCCCATAAGAATTAGTATAAAATAGATATAATTATTTCTGGAATAATGAATGGGAAATGATTTATTTTCAACTATTTTTTTAAGACACTTAAGACTATGTACAATGAAATAATTACATAAAATCTTAAACAGTACAATTATAACAACATTTATTATAAAATATAAATTTAACTTCATTTTATCTGTATTGAGGACAATTTTCGCTAGTTTATCTGTTGGATAACCGAACGTTTTATGTAGAAAAGTTAACTAAATCAAAGATTTATTAATAAATATTTTAAAATAACATTAATTTACAATGTACAAGATAATAATTATAGTTATTATAGTTATATCCCTTAATTTTCTCAATATATTGTAAATTATTAAACAGATGTTTAAACTAATTTGTTTTGAGCAATAAATCGATTTCTAAATGATCATGTAATGTTTAAGAATCCAATATTAAGCTACCAATTATTCAAAGTAAAACTTCTTGTTTTCTATTTAATTATACTTAATTAACAATTTTATTCTTAGTTTTCTCCAAAAAAATACAAAAAGCAATAGTTAAAATTGATGCTCACAATTATAAAATTTTGAATTTACAACATATATTTGACCTTTGACCTGTCCGCGTGTCTTCCTTCGAAATGGATTCAAAGACATAAATGTAATCTAACTTCTTCGATTTGTATCACTCGTGAACAGCATTGAAGTATGTAGATCGCGTTATTGTATGGTGATTTCAGCACCTGATTATGCATATCGCGTACGGGATCTTCCGGATTTCAATTTCCATCAAGGACTTTGCAGGATTATAATCTGAAATCGCGATCTTCCTTGAGATAGTATTAATAACATATTATTTAGTGTGTATTCTTAAGGTTTTCACTTCGACATTACATTATGTAACAATAATAAATAATAACACTTATTGCATTAATTTATACTTATACAATAAAATATATATAAAATATACATGAATATTATTGGAACAATTGTATTACATATATTTATGGAAACGTGCACACAATACAAAGTAGTATGAATTCTACTCTTATTTAATTGTCTCAAGTCGCAAATTGTTATAAATTATGTCATAATATAGAATACTGAAACATCTTGTTTGCCGTGGGAAGTGTGACGATTTTATGCTATAGTTGAAACCATTAATTCTCTACGTCTTCGTTTCTCTGCTTTAATTAGTTATTTTTTTATTAATAAATTTATTAAATTAATTAGTGTTTCCATTATTTTTATACTCATTTCTATTTATTAGATTGTGCTTTTCTAATTAATTTCACTGTTTTATCCATTGTGTATTATATAATATTTAGTATAAAAAATAAATTTCTTAGTCAAAATATAAAAAAAATACACATTTTATTTGTATTTATAACTTAAATACATTAAATATTTGGTCAATCTAATAACTATATTATATAAAAATAAAGACAAATTGAGAAAGAGATTTGTAGATACAAGAATTTTTTTTAATTCTCTGGCAGCTCTCTGATTCTGATGAAATAAACCTTGGGCAAGGAGAAAATTCATCCATTGTCTTAATATATGTGCAAGTGGCGTAAATACGCATCCGTTTATGTATGTAAAGGAAATAGTAGGAATGTCTTCCAACCATGTGAAAATTCAATTACTTCTCCACTTATGAGAGCATTTCCACTATTATGTTATATATGTATATACGTTATATCGGCTATTCCATACACAATTCCCTTGATTCACTATAAATTACAAAACTTAACATTATATCATCCTTCCAAACCACTCACACGCATCGTTACCTACTTTAATCATATGAAAATAACGCAATTTCACTCTGATTCATTGTTTTACAATTTATTTGTTTTTATATTCTTATACATTTTTGTTCATTCATTCGAATTATTTAGT